TTCACAATGACCTTTTCTTGTATCTATATTGTAGGAGTTATGCAACGTCTTGTTCCCTTCTCAGGGAACAGGGTTACATGCGTAACCCTGACATTCCTTTTCAAAGGGAACTTTGACATAGCATTTAGCATAACAGTATGGGAAGGAGAATACCCACTCCGTCATACCAAAGGTACGGACTGTTCAAAAATACCCAAATCCGAGGGACACTGCAAGACACTCGAGCCCGGGGTGGAATGAATATCCAGGCTATAATATTGAATGAATGTATGTTGCGTAGACCATCCTGCAGCCACACACACATCCTGTAAGGATACCCCATTGGACAAAGCCTTCCAGGAGGTGACCGCCCTAGTGGAATGAGCTCTTATGCCCAGAGGCATTGCGAGCCCACGCATCGTAAGCTCTAGAGATTGCTTCAACTATCTAATTAGAGATGCACTGCTTTGACACAGCATAACCTTTCCTGTCGCTGCCAAAGCAGACTAGTAGCTGCTCTGACTTACACCACTGGTTGGAGCGGTGGACGTAAGTACAGAGAGCCCCTCAGGGGCCAGACCCACGGTTTCCGTAGTTCTGGCCAGGGTGATAAATCAGCCCTCCGGCTTGAGACAGTAGATCCCCTCTAAGGGCTGCCACATAACCCTGATTGTAGAAGGAGCCCACCCCGCTAAGAAATGTTCTTGTAGGAGCTCCAGGACTGTAGCTACTGTATTGCGCAGTTTACTGGGTCTACATTGGATCCCTACGTACAAGACTCTCCCAAGGACTGCCATCTCGCAGGGATATTATCTCTCAGAACCATATTCAAGCTGGCCAAAAAGGTGCTACTAGCAGACGATATATAAGGGCACCCCCAGGCGATGGGGGGAGCAGCATACAGATGTGACCTCGGCCACATGTGCACCATGGTGTCCAGCCCTAATTGTGCAGGAGGAGTGAGGGCAAACCACAGCAGGCCATGTGTTGTCTCCTCAGAGGTGAACACACGTCATCCTGCTTGGCCAAACCTCACCGTATGGACTCCACCCCAATAGTCTCCGAAAATCCAGCTTTATCTTGCTTATTGTTGATAGGATTGACACTATGCATGTTGGGGATAGAAATGCCCTCATCGTAGTAGAATCCTATTACCCCTAGAAAAGTTGTCCACTGCGCTGGGCAAAGCATATTTTTCTGAGATTCAACCTGAGCCCCAAGCTCTTCATGTGGGTGAGAACAACATCTCGATGTTGAACCACCAATTCCCTGGATCGTGCTAGAATTACAGAATTACTGTATTAGAATTAGAATTACTGTACAGCTCAGTTCACTTACACTCATGCCAACCAAGACGGCCAGGAACCTTGGGGTGATTCTTGATGAGGGCCTGACCTTTACAGACCACATCTCAGCAACTGCAAGGTCCTGTAGGTTCATCCTGTACAACGTCAAGAAAATCCGACCATACCTCACCAAACAGGCTGCACAGATACTAGTCCAGGCTCTTGTCATCTCTAAACTGGACTACCGCAACTCACTGCTTTCAGGCCTCCCAGCCAGCTACATCAAACCCCTTCAGATGATTCAGAATGCTGCAGCACACCTTGTCTTCAACCAGCCCAAGACAACTCATGTCACACCCCTCTTCATCTCCCTCCACTGGCTTCCTGTAGCTGCCCGCATCAAGTTCAAGGCCTTGATGCTCACCTACAAGACCTTGTTAGGAACAGCACCCTCCTACCTCAACTCTCTCCTGAAGGCATACATTCCCTCTCGCAATCTGCGATCGACTAGCGACCGATGTTTAGTAGTTCCCACTCAGCGAGGCGTAAGGTCCCTTTCCAGAACCTTCACACATACCGTTCCCCAGTGGTGGAATGTTCTTCCGATATCAATCCGGACTGCAGAATCTCTCACTATCTTCAAAAAACAGCTAAAGACCCACCTTTTCCTTGAATACCTAACCAACTCCTAGAGGGAAAAAAAAACCTCACACACAATGCACTTACACCTCTACTCTGTGCACTTTGCTTCCTCTCGTATTCAATTAATGGATATTGTATAGTAGCAATACTTGTATTGTTCCCTGCTTGATATATCGCTTTGCTTATTTGTAAGTCGCTTTTGGCAGCCTCTTGAGGCTTCCATTGCATACTACACCGCTAAACACTTCATCCAGCAAGTGTGCGCTATTCCTATGATGAAACGGGAGCAAGCCATAAGGCACTTTTTGAATTCTTTTTCACTCATTACTTACCTCTCTTTTCTTCTAAAAAAGGATAGAAAACTTCAGAGATTTTGAGAAAATATCGAGTAGAAATTAAGCGGTTTTAAAACATGTAGTCTTGCTGAAGATAATAAGGTTGGCGGCATAGTTCACAGGTGCCATATATATATCATGTGACATGCTTAATTGCCGTCACCTGATCATGGCCTACCTATAAGTAGAGGCATGATTTTACACAAGCTTCAGTCATGCATGCAAGGCATTTCCATACTGTTATGCTAAATGTAACGTCGAAGTTCCCTTTGAAAGGGAACACCAGTTGGTTAAGTTTAGCAAGTGGAACTTTCCCCCATTCTTCCATTATGCATTTCTTCAGCTGTACAACTGAACAGGGCCTTCGGTGCCTTATTTAATGCGCCACGTGTTCTCAATGGGAGACAGGTCAGGACTGCAGCAGGCCATGCTAGCACCCACACTCTCTGCTTATGCAACCGTGTGCTTGTAATCCAGGCAGGATGTGGTTTGGCATTGTCCTTCTCTGGATGGCAGCGTATGTTGCTCCAAAATATCTTTCTGCATTAATGCTGCACTCACAGATGTGCAAGTTACCCATGCCATAGGCACTGACATGCCCCCATACCATGATATTTCATGTAATTTCCTCATCACAATCATCACCTTGTATACTAACACCTTGCTTACATTTTTCTTCAAACAGATACAATCTGTTACCAATCTGTTCAGATACAACCAGAATCAATCGAACCTCTTCTACAAATAATAAATTTTTCCCTTAGCATTGGCTATGTACCTAAACAACTTAAACTAATGATAATGAATCTTTATTGATCATATATACTGTACATATGTGAACTTCTTTTCTTTCCCCAGCATGTTATGACGTTGGGGTCAGAGCACAGGGTCAGCCATGATTCGGCGACCTGGAGCAAAGAGGGTAAAGGGCCTTGCTCAAGGGCCCCACAGTGGCAGCTTGGCAGTGCTGGGGCTTGAACCCCCGATCTTCTGATCATTAACCCAGAACCTTTACCACCAAACCAACACTTCCCACATAGTGGATGTTTTGAATGAGTAGATCTGTTTGTTTGTGTGTTGGAATGCGAGTGTGCACGTTGAATTGGTATGTTACCATGCATGAACAAAGGACATACTCACACTTGGTTCGAGAACAAAGGGAGTGTTAGGATGTCTGTGTGTCCACACACAAAGAAGGAGGTTTTCCTGCCATGCCCACGAGTCAGAAGAAACTTAACGTCTTTTATGCAACATTATTAGGAGGACTTTGCCATTTACAGCTGTGTGTGGTATACCATTGGAAAGCTAAGAATCTTTTAATTTGACTTATATAAACTGTTTAAAGATATAATCACAACAGCAGCTACAATTAGTGTCTTTGTGAAACCACCAGCATACAAACAAAGGAAAGCAAAACAGTGCCAACTCACCTATGAAGCCAGATAGCGCTCCAGTGAATCATAACATCCTGATAAAAACAGTCTTGTTACACTACCAAAGGTCCAAACAATTCTGTAAAAAAATTATGAAATAAAATTATGTAAAAATATTTAGTCCATAGCACATTTTATATCAATAAATCCACATGAACTGCAGGTGCGTCGTTCCAAATCATTTCAGAAGACATTGTTGTTCTCCATATCTACACAGCACGTGAGGGAACACATCTAAATGCCAGAACTCAAAATGACCTCTGGGGTGAGACTTATAGAATGACACCTCATTTTAAGCAATAGGAGCTTCCATGTTCTGTCTTCAAAATCCAATGATAGCCTGTGCTTCAGCAAGCTCCTTCCCCTTTTTCTACATGAACAGAGTGATCTGTGTAATGGCACCTGTGGAGGTGACTGGACCATCGTGTAGCCAGTGAACAGCTGAAAAGAATGATATCTTGCTTCACGGGTGTGTTTCAGCCCTTCAACTTAAGTCCCTGTGTAAATCTCAAGAGTGCATAAAAGTGCACAAACGTTTATTTGGTATTGTTATCAAGTTTGAACTCAGACTAGGAAAGACTTCATGCTGTGGTCCAGTTGTGTTTACCAGCTAATAGCTCCTACCTGTAGATATCTCCAGGCCTCTGTATGCAAAAATAAATGAATAAATAAGGCAGAAAAAAACCTTCCCGCTGTTTCAGTCTGTTCAAACCTCTATTACTCAATACCAGTAGCACTTACATGGGACAAAACGTCAGAGTGTCCCCTTTCAAAAACAAAACAAAACCATGCATGTACTCCAAATGGTTCAAGAACAGCTTTAATTTTTCTTTGAGTATGCCTTGGATAGACATTTTAGACTAATTTTACTGAAACTTCACGGGGTTAAATAACTGTTATGGATATGTAACTGTAGTGTGATGTGCTTATTATGTTATCTACAAAATCACTACAGAGTCAAAATAACACGACTCAAGGACAAACATTATTGTCTCTGAGTGTGATCAACTAAGCTTAAGGCAGAGATCCAACAGAAAACTAATGGTGTTAGTATAAGATTGTATACAAATGAGCTCACAGAGGTGCAAGTGAAGGAAGAGAAACAAAGATCAAAGAGGCACTTTATATAGACCTAATGGGTTTTATATAGATATCATACGGAAGATCATACAATCAGGTTGGATTCAGGTTACCAAATAATAAAGCACTTTAACATTTACGGCGTTTGTCAGGTGCCCTTATATAGAGCAACTTAAATTTATCTTATTCATACAACTGAACAGTTGAAGGTTAAGTGTCTTGCTCAAGGGCCCAGAATTAGCAACTTACAGTGTTGGGATTTGAACTCATGATCTTCTGATCAGAAGTTTAACATCTTAACCACTGAGCTGCTCTGATGTGTATTGTAATCCAAGTTTACACTGAATGATTCAACCTGAAGGGAGTCTTGTGAAAACATTTGTGGAGATATTGATTTGAATTGCACAGAAGGCTCTGGACACTTAGTGAGTTGCTCACAACCCCCTTCTGGAGGCACTTGGTGAGTTAAACAAGTAGATGAAAATAAAGTAATAAGAAATTAAAGATGACCGCTTTTTGGTTGAGTATAATATATTCATGCTGCATATAGGGCCCAAGTGCACACAAAGACTATTGGCTTTTCTGCCAAAAAAAAGTGTTCCCCAGTAAAACTTCACGTTGATTATAAAATACTATTATTGACATATAAAGCACTGAATGGTCTCGCACCACAGTACCTGAGCGAACTTTTGCTCTTTTATGATCCACCATGACTACTTCCCTCAAAAGGTGCAGTTTATTTGTTGGTACCTAGAATAGTGAAGGTTACAGCAGGGGGAGGATCTTTCTCTTACAAATCCCCACAGTTATGGAACAGCCTTCCAATTATTGTTCGGGACTCAGACACAGTCTCAGTGTTCAGGCTGAAAACATATTTGTTTACTCAAGATATTTGTGAATAATTTTTTTTTTTGTTAAAGGTGCAGATCTAGAGGCTGCCTTTTAGTTATGATGTTATAGCAAGTCTTGCTGGAGTCCCTAATTTAATTATTTTTTTAAGTCATTACAGAACAAGAGCTCATTTAATAATTAGTGTTTTCTCTCTCTCTTCCTCCTCGGTCTGTCTGTATGTATGTGTCTGCAGGATGATGGAACAGGACAGAGTGAGTCAAGCCTCCAGCGTGGTCACAGTTTCCTCAACCAGAGACAAGGTGTGTTCATCAAAAACACACACACACGTGTCTTCCTATCCTAAAGAGAACAAAACAGAAAAAAACTATATGTGTGTGTGTGTGTGTGTGTATAGGTTGACAAGAAACTGCAATCGTTCTGTAAAAGGTCTCGCTCAGTGCAGCGAGATCCGAACTGTGCAGTAGTAATCAGAGGATGGCTTTATAAAAAAGTGAGTAAAATTATTGTTATTATTATTTTTATTATTCACCTCTAAAGTACAGTGTATTTGGAAAGTATTCACAGCGCTTCACTTTTTCCACATTTTGTTATGTTACAGCCTTATTCCAGTATGTATTAATTTAATTATTTTCCTCAAAATTCTACAAACAATACCCCGTAATAACAATGTGAAAGAAGTTTATTTACAAATTTGCAAATTTATTTACGTTTACATTTATTCACTTAGCAGACGTATTTATCCAAAGCGACTTACAAATGAGAAAAATACAAGCAAAGCGATATATCAAGCAGAGAACAATACAAGTAGTGCTACCATACAAGGTCGATTAATTGAGACAAAGTGCACAGAGTAGATGTGTAAATGCAATATTTTTTTTTTTTTTTTTTTTTATGAGTTGGTTAGGTGTTCACAGAAGAGGTGGGTCTTTAGCTGTTTTTTGAAGATGGTGAGAAATTCTGCTGTCCGGATTGAGGCTGGAAGTGCATTCCACCACTGAGGAACTGTTAGCGTGAAGGTTCTGGAAAGGGACCTTGCACCACACTGAGTGGGAACTACTAAACGTTGGTCGCTAATCAATCGCAGAATGTGAGAGGGAACGTAGGCGGGCGGTTGTGGTGCAGGTGGTTGTGGTAGTAGGTGGTTGTCTACTAATCGTAGGGTTGACGGTTCAATTCCCGGCCCGGGTGACTCCACATGCCGAAGTGTCCTTGGGCAAGACACTGAACCCCAAGTAGCTCCTGTTGGCAAGCTAGTGCCTTGGTGGTGAGTGTGTGTGAATGTAAAGCGCTTTGGATAAATGTGTGTAAATGGATAATGAATGTAAAGCGCTTTGGATAAAAGCTATATAAGTGCACATTTACCATTTACGTAGGCCTGTTCAGGTAGGGTGCTGTTCCACACAAGGTCTTGTAGGTGAGCATCAAGGCCTTGAATTTGATGTGGGCAGATACAGGATGCCAGTGGAGCAAGATGAAAAGGGGTGTGACATGGGTTTTCTTGGGCTGGTTGAAGACAAGGCGTGCTGCAGCAATCTGAATCATCTGAAGGGGTTTGATGGAGCTGGCTGGGAGGCCTAAAGTTTTTGTTGTACAAAACAACAGATGAAGGCTGCAGACCTTGCAGTTGATGAGATATGGTCTGTAAAGGTCAAGGCGTCATCAAGAATCACCCCAAGGTTCCTGGCCGTCTTGGTTGGCATGAGTGTGAGTGAGCTGAGCTGTACAGTGATGTTGTGGTTGATTGAGGGACAGGCTGGGATGACGAGAAGCTCAGATTTTGCCAGGTTAAGCTTAAGATGGTGTTCCTTCATTCAGACCGAGATGTCCGACAGGCAAGCAGAGATGCATGCAGAGACAGATGGATCAGTGACGGAAAGCAGAGCAGTCTCCATGGAGTGATTGCTCTTGAAGCCAGACTGCTTGGTGTCCAGGAGGTTGTTCTGTTTGAGAAAATTGGAGAGTTGATTAAAAACGGCTCTTTCAAGAGTTTTGGAAAGAAAAGGGAGGAGGGAAACAGGTCTGCAGTTCAACTATAGCAGGGTTGAGTGATTGTTTTTTAAGCAGTGGGGTAACCCGGGCTTGCTTAAATAAGGTAGGGTATGTGCCAGAAGAGAGGGATGTGTTAAAGATTTGTGTGAGTGCAGGTAAGCGTGTGGGAGAGATGGACTGAAGAAGGTGAGAAGATGGGGTCAAGAGGACAGGTTCTGGAATGGCTAGAGAGGAGGAGTTTAGAGACATCAGTCTCTGAGAGGGGAGAGAAGGAAGTCAGTTGGGAGTTACATGGAGGAGGAGCCGGTCTATGCATGTCTGGGGTTGAGAACTGGCTCCTGATTGATGTATCTTTGTTAGAAAATAAAGTGGCAAAGTCATCTGCAGTGAGAGAGGTAGGCGAAGGGGGAGGAGGAGGACAGAGAAGGTTTTGAAAAAAGTGCGGGTATTTGGAGACCTACCAATCTTCTCTTGGTAGTATGTAGCTTTAGCAATGGAGATGCTATTGGAAAAAGAAAAGAGAAGTGTCTGGTAATTGGTTAGATAATTTGGGTTGTTTGATTTGCGCCATTTCCTTTCAGATGCTCTTAGTTTGGCCTGGTTGTTACGCAGAGCTTCTGAGAGCCAAGGACTAGAGGGTGATGTGCGAGCAGGTCTGGAGGTTAGGAGGCATATGCTGTCAAGAGAAGATGTTAGGGTGGAACATACCATGTCAGCTGTGGTGTTTAAGTCAAGTGAGGAAAGGTGGCTATCAGAGGGAAGTAAGGTTGTGACAACGGAGGAGAAATGTGAGGAGGAAAGGGAGCGAATATTGCGACATAAAGAGATAGAAGGAGGAGACAGTTTATGGGTGAGGGGAGAGAAATAGAGAACTGGATAAAGAAATGGTCAGAGGTATGGAGAGGAGTAATGAGAAGATTAAGTGTGGTGCAATTACGTGTGAGGATGAGGTCAAGCGGTTTGCTGGTGTGTTGAACTGCTTGAGGTCAAATGTGGGAAGGAGAGCAAGAAAGTCAGCTGCATGTGACATGTCTAGATGAATGTTGAAACCACGGGGGAAACCACCAAGGTCCAGAAGAGGAGTTCCATCATCTGGGATGGTGGACAGTAGCGTGACAAATTAATCAATGAATTTATTAAAAATAAAAAACCAAAAAGCACATTTACATAAATATTCACAGCCTTTGCTCAATACTTTGTTGGAGCAGCTTTTCACCAATTACAATTAGCTTGGCACACCTATTTTTGGGCAGTTTCTCCCATTCTTTGCTGCAGGACCTTTCAAGCTCCATCAGGTTGGATGGGATGCGTCGGTGCACAGCCATTTTCAGATCTCTCCAGAGATGTTCAATCAGGGACTATCACAGAGTTGTTCTGTAGCCACTCCTTTGTTATCTTGGCTGTGTGCTTAGGGTCGTTGTTCTGTTGGAAGATGAACCTTAACCCCAGTCTGAGGTCCAGAGAGCTCTGGAGCAGGTTTTCATCAAGGATGTCTCTGTACATTGCTGCATTCATCTTTCCTTCGATCCTGACTAGTCTCCAAGGAGAGTGAGAGGCTTGTTTTCAATCCTAATGGTTATCATGAGAGGCTTGTTTTCTTTCCTAATGGTAACTGTTTGGGAGGCTTTTTTAAATCCTCATGGTGAATGTAGATGAGCTCTTTTTAACCCTATTGGTAATGAGATCCTAATCTTTCTGAAATGTATTGGATATTTTCTCTGTACATAAGCTATAAATACTGGAGCTTAAGCTCCAGTTATCAGATCACTTCTGAGAATTCTCATTGGTGTGGATCTCGTGTGGTGGACCGAAATAAAAACTGGACCCTTACTTTTCCTCACTCACGGCTGTTCGTCTTTTTACTATCTCCAATTGGGTTTACGGATGTGAGTATTTGCATCTAATTTTAATTGTCTTTGGGTAATAGGCTAAATTCGGCCTTTCATTCCTGCCACTGAAAAACATCCCCACAGCATGATGCTGCCAATACGCCAGGTGATGAGTGGTGCCTGGTTCCCTTCAGACATGACGCTTGCCATTCAGGCCAAAGAGTTCAATCTTTGGTCTGAGAGTCCTTCAGGTGCCTTTTCGAAAACTCCAGGTGGGCTGTCATGTGCCTTTTACTGAGGAGTGGCTTTCATCTGACCACTCTACCATTCAGCCCTGATTGATGGAGTTCTGCAGAGATGGTTGTTCTTCTGGAAGCTTCTCCTCTCTCCACAGGCACACGCTGGAGTTCTGTAAGAGTGACCATTGGGTTTTTGGTCACCTCCCCAACTTGTTACCCAGATGAGGATGGGTTCCCTTCTGAGTCTGGTTCCTCTCAAGGTTTCTTCCTCTTAAAACATCTTAGAAAGTTTTTCCTTGCCACCGTTGCCACTCAGTGGCTTGCTCAGTTGAGATAAATTTGCACCTTTAATATCTGTATACCATGTTCATATTTCTGTAAAGCTGTTTTAAGACAATGTCTATGGTAA